CATGTGGAGGCCAAAGTGAGTATTGTGTGTCTTCTCTATTGCTCTCCATCTTATTCTTTGAGATGGGGTCTTCCCCAATATGGCTACACTAGATGGCCAGTGAACTGTAGAGTCCAGGGATCCTCCCGTCTGCCTTCCCTGTGCTGGAGTCACAGCCATGAGCCACGGACCGGACTTACGTGAGTGCTGGTGGTGGAAATCAGGCCCTCGAGCCTATGCAGTGAACATTTCACTTGCTGGACCCCAAAGTTTAGGGTCTCAAGTGGGTGCCCCAAGAACCCAGACTCCAGTCCAGTTGATGCAACAGCACGAGGATTTATTAGATAGATAGATAGATAGATAGATAGATAGATAGATAGATAGATAGATAGAAAGAAGGGCTCCTCTGCTCCCAAGAGCAAGAGTCGCATTTTACTGCAGCCACATAGGTGCTTTTAAAGGAAAAACCCATAAAACCCACAAGATTACAATTCCCATGCAATTTCGTTTCACAAGATCATGGTCTGATCACAGAGTGGGTACAGTCACGTCAACAGGTACATTCTTCCTGAAACCTCAAGGGGGGGTATCAGGGCGGGAGTCCAGTTTACAAAGGTCACAGTGGTCCTTCCTGGAACACTTGCAACTATCCCAGTCACAGTTGAGCACATCTCTTAACAGAAATCTTGTTACATTGTTACAGGGGTGATTGAGTAGTGGCTGAGTCAGGTGGCCCTTGGAACTAGTTTTTTTTTTTTAGTTCCTTATTTCCTGGGGCTTGGGGGTGTAAGCCTGAAGGGTTAGGGTCTTTCACACTGACTGAGCCGTTTGTCTAGCTCTTGAAGGACATTCTTCTTTTTGTAATTAACTCAGAGCATATTTACTGAGAACTACAATAAATAAGTCAGATTGAATGCTGCATTAATGCTCTGGCCCCTTTCTCTGTCCTCTGGGAAAGAATCAGGTGTACCTAACGTGGAACATGCTCCTATGGGAGCTAGGCGGGCCCACCCTTTTACTCCTCCCTTACCCATGCCTTGGTAGGTGAGCTCAAGTTGTAATTGAGATGCCTGTTAGCGTAACTTAATAAGCAGATGCCATTACTGATAGATGTGCAGAGGCAGATTCCAGACTCTGGCTGTGAACTTCCTGGGGTTTGAGCAAAAGAATGTGGCAAGTCACTGAGTCAGCACCAGCCAGATTATCTTGTCACTTTCTCTTTGGGTGCACAGAGCTGCAGGGTGGGGTGCTGGAAAAGCAAACTCCTAGGGCAGTTACAGTTGAGCTTGTCCCTAAGAGGAGCTGCTCTTCAGGTATGCCACAGATGAGGTGTTTTCCTTTGGACTTTGCATGGGGAGTATATATACGGTGTTTTCTTATTTGTAAACACCTGTTAGGAAATGTGTTTGTAAAGGAGGCACAAAAGTGTGACAACAGTAACACAGCAGAACCGTGAAACAGTCCTGTCATAAAGGTTCTGTAAATGTGGGCCTCTTATCCACAGTAGCTGCCTCTCCTTGTGAATGTGTATGTGTGTGCCATGCCGCAAGTTAGCACTTGACAGAATTGCTACTCCTTTTTTACCATGTGGGCCCTGGGGATCAAACACAGGTCCTTGGATTTGGCAGCAAGCATCTTTACCAGTTGAGTTACCTCACCAGCCCTCAACTTTGTCTGGAAGGGAGGAACACTCTATGGCTTCTCTTTGTTTTGTCTGATTGGCAGTTTGCTCTTGTTGTGCTTTGGAACTGTTATTAAAAGACAAGCATTGCTGGAACACAGGCATGGTCACACCAGGCAGCGTGTGATAACACAGATACTGTTAGCTGACTTAGCGGAGGATGTATACTCCAAGTCGAGGATGGAGAATTTCCAGGTGGAGTGCAGCTAGAGCTTGTGGGCTGTTTATTTCTGTTATTTTCCGTGTACTGTTCTCTGACTGTAGCTGATTTCGAGTACGGGACACTGAGGGCAGGGAATCATTCTTTTAATATTAGAGAACCATACAGGGCTGCTGCATCTATGGAGAAAGGGCTATGATGATTGAGCAAAGCCATGTTTCTTCAGGAAGTGACTTGGGAGCTTGATACAAGATCTGGTTCTGTGTTTTACGGAACCTTGTAGGTTCCATTGTTGTAGCAGTGGAAGAGACTTGAAGCTGTCTCCAGGAAGATGGTAGAGATGTTTGCAGGAGACTTCCCATTTTAGACAGCGTGGCCTCAGGCTGAGTCTGCAATAAAGTAATTGATGAGCTCTGTGGGGTTATTGATGGTGGTCACTTACGTATTGGAAGCTAACTAGAAAATGCAGTTATTTTTACCCTCTGATTGATTTTCACCTTTCCTCCTGACTGTGGGTAAAGAGCCTGTTTTCAGGTTTATAGCAAGATATTCTGGACTGCTCTAGGGAAGATGCTCCTGGAGGTGGGCGTGCAGGGAGAGAGGAAGGATGGAAACATTTTTTTTCCACAGATGTTTAGCGTCTGTACTGAACACGGGACTTTCTTCTTGAAACACATGGCAGTCTCTCTAGAAAAGGGCCACTGCTATCCTTTTGTGCTGGCTTAGGATCATTATTTTAGAAGTTTTGCACATCACAGTAAAACTTAATACAGAGACAGGAGGCACAGTCTGTAAGAGAGAATGAGGTACAGGCAGTGTAATAGGGTTGTTTGCACACTCACAGGAGAACCAGCAATAAGCATGTGTAGTCACAGATTTAGCAAACGGACCCCCTCATTCCCCGACGAGCAAGTGGCCGGAAGAAGCTGTGATGGGCAGTGAATCTGTTCATGAAGAAGATAGGATGATCTTGATGAGAATACAGGGCTTCCCAGGGTAGGAGACCTAAACTTTCCTTCACGTTATATGTTGCTGACAGAGTTCAAAGGAAACTTGGCCACATGGGGAATTGTCTGTCCACATTCTGTCTATGAGAGGGGAATATGTGAAAATGTTGCTTCTTGTCAAATTTGATTGAAATATTAGTGCAGTTTTAATTGAAATCCCAGTGGGATTTAAAAAGTGTCCAAGGAACTGGAGAGATGGATCAGTGATTAAAAGCACTGGCTGCTCTTTCAGAGGACTCAGGTTAGAGTCCTGGCACATAGATGGCAGCTCACAACCACCTGTAACTCCAGGTCTAGGGAATTTAAGACCCCTTTCTGGCCTCCTTGGTCACTGTTGTATAACACATACACATAGGTAAACACATATACACATCAAAGTTAAAAAAATTTAAGTGACTAAGTGTTTAGTTTGGAAAACAGGATTAGTAACATTTTTTGAAGAAAACCTGGCTTTCAGTTATTATGAAGGTGTGTTGGTTCACCTTCACATCAACTAAGTGGATTTAGAATTGCCATGGATGTGTCTAGGAAGATATTCCTGGAATGTCTGAGGAGTGAAGACACACCGACCGTGGGTGGCACACTTCCAGCCAGCTACCAGAGCTCGTCACTCTCTGCTTTCTGACTGTGGATGCAGTGTGACCAGCTGCTGCATGCTTCTGCTGTCTAGATGGACTGTCCCTCAAACTACGCGCAAGAATCCACCTTCCCTTCCTGAGATGAACCTTGTCAGGCATTTTGTCATGGCAGTAAGGAAGTGACTGACACACAAGATGTCGATTAGGTACATGAGCACGGTTCCTGTGTAGTGTGTGCTGGTCAGTGGATCATTTATCTCTTGGCAGACTTTGCTACTCAAGGGTTCTGGAGATGTGTGAGGTCAAGGAGAGAGTATTGGATGGGACTGAGACAAGTGACTGTTTTTGTTTGTTTGTTTGTTTTGTTTTGAGGCAGAGAATACCAAGGCTTTGAATACTCAAAGGTGGAGGATATCAGGTAACACAAAGAGCTGAGCTTTAACTTGTGAAAAGCACAGGGAGCAGCCACAGGGAAGCACAGCTTTGATGTGCAGCCTGCATCCAGGCAGATTGGCCCATGTGTGCTTACACATACATGAGGGCATGACTGGAACTCAGTGAGAGTTGACGGTGGTCTGGAGTGAACACACTAGGAGACATTTCAACTAGGATGCAGAGTTGCTGGGGAGCTTTTGACTGCAGGGTGCTGGGCCTTCTAAGGATGCTGAGGGATGAGAAGGGCTGTTGCTCTGTTTGAATGCCCCCCACTCCTCTGCCCCCTGCCCCCTTTATTTTTCCAAGACAGGGTTTCACTGTGTAGCCCTGGCTCAAATTCTCACTGGGATTGAAGGTATGTGCCATTCTGTGCTTGCTGCAGGATCTTTATCTCTTAGGTTTTCTGAGGCGTTCCTAGCACCTGTGAACAGTGATTGGCACACTGTGTGTGAGCCAGTGAAGGATGTGGGCTAAGGTTTGCTGGGTGGGTGGGGCTGCTACTTAAAGCTGGAACAGTAGAAAAGGAACAGGTGTGGGAGGAAGCATATCAGGTGATGTTGGTGTGGTAGTGGTAGAAAGCAGAAGTTGCAAGGGGTGGTGGTGCACACCTTTAATCCCAGTACTTGATATAGGCAGATCTCTGAGTTCGAAGCCAGCCTGGTCTACATAGTGAGTTCCAGGACAGCCAACGCTACGCAGAGAGATCCTGTCTCAAAAAACAAACAAACAAACAAACAAACAAAGCACAGAAAGTACTCAGACATCAAGCAGTGGAGAGAAACATAGTAAAGTGATATAATATGGATAATGTGAAACTGTTAAAAAGAAAAATCACCGATGAGTAAATGGTAGCATGAATCTGCATGGACATGGTAGCACTCGTGTCCCATACAGTGTTCAACTGTACTAGTAAGGGTAAGTCATCCTGCCTCCTCAGAACGGGACCGCAGGTAAGAATAGTGTATGGAGCTCTTGAAGATGTGTTGTCTTTTGATCAGTTGATTCTGCTCCTGCATGCCCTGTCCTCAGAGGTAGGCTAACCTGGACGATAGGAGCAGTGTTGCAAGAGTGCCTGAGTAAGGCGGTGTCAGGGAGGAGCCACGTGTTCTGGGGACATATCTGGAGTTTATGTTGAAACACTGTTTCTGTTGTACTTCCAGATGAAGACAGTTAGTGTGGCCTTGGTCCTGTGCCTGAATGTGGGCGTGGATCCTCCAGATGTGGTGAAGACAACACCTTGTGCGAGATTGGAGTGCTGGATCGGTGAGTGTCAGCCCCTCCCACGGGCACCTGTCATGTACGCTGTTGTTTTAGATGCATTAATCTTTGTTTTGTAGTAGAGAAAATTTTCAAGGAAACTTAATAAAATATCAACTATTGGTTTCTGTATTTTTTTTCTTTAAAATTTGTTGGTATATAGCTTGTGCCTATACATTGGTATAATGGTAGGTATACACACTTTTGAAAAATTGAGCAACTCATATTTGCATGTAAATATATTTATAGAAAAGGTAAATTGATCTATTTTGAGCAAAGCATTATGCCATATATCATAGATGATAGTAGCCAAATTCATGCTTACATTGTGCTAAGGATGGCTTACAGCAGTTCCCAGTTAATTAGCTCGTTCAATCTCCATCTAAATCCCATGTTAAAACATTTTATTGCGTTTATATGTGTGCACACGCACATATGCATGCAACAGTGTAGATGTGGAGGTCGAAGTACAGCTTGGGAGTCAGTCTTTCCTTTCAGCCTGTGGGTCTTGGAAATTGAACTCAGGGTGTTGGGCTTGGTGGCAGGTGCTTTGTCTACCTTTGGAGCCGTCCTACTAGCCCACCTGTTTTGTCTGTTTGTTTCGTTTTTGTAACAAAATGCAACTACTTAATTTTTCAAAACTTAACTATACTAATGAAAATAAATTATAGACAACCTTTAATATTTGTACATTATCTTCATATAACTATAACAGTGCTTTCAAAAGACATCTTGTAAAGAATATTTTCACAATACCATGTTGCAAAAATAGGACAACATTAAAGAACATTAGTCTGAAATATATCTTATAGTGTTGGTTTTTGAAGCTGAGTAAAATGAGATCCAAAAGAAGAGTTCGCCCTGAGTTGTTCTGTGAGTACAAGGTGGAGTTGGGAACCTACGTAAAGTATGGAGACTGTTCATTTTTTAAAAATTGGAGCTGGGTGATGGTGGCATACTCATTTAATCCCAGCATGGGAAGTAGAGGCAGGTGGATCTCTGTTAGTTTGAGGCCACTCTTGTCTATATAGTTAAGTTCTAGGCCAGCCATGTACTCCTCTTTAATAAATGAGGAGTGGTAGGTAATGAAAATGTGTACAATAAAATTTCTGTATGAACATTTCCCACAGCACACACAGCGTTGAGCATCAGTCACGACCATCCTCTCTAGGAGCTTTTCACACCACAGCTGCTGCTGTTTCCCTTCCCAGCCCCTGTATGCCCCATTCAGGGTTTTCTTTTTGAGACAGGTGTTGTTATGTAGTCCAGGCTGGCCTCAACCTCAAGGCCCCTGCCTCTGCCTCCTGAGTGCTGCATCACAGGTGGGCACCACCACACCTGCCTAATCTATTCAGAAGGACATATGCTTTTCCGAAGTTGAGAACTTTGTATTTGGTCTTGACTGAGAGGTGGACCTGGTCTGGACTATTGTGACTTGACAACATGGGATAAGAAAAAAGAATGTTAATGACTTGCTTCAGCTGATGCTTGGTATCCATTATTCCATGTGTTTTGTTTTTAGTTTGTTTGTTTTTTTTTTTTGAGAAAAAAATTTTCCAAAGTTGCAAGCAGAGCAGTGAACACTTTTCCTGATTCAGTGAGTTGCTTGGGAACTCTTCAGTGTTAGGTCCACCTGCAAGGAGTCTCTTCTGAGATGAGATCACATCTTGCTCCTTGTGGGGAGGAACCTGAGGACTGCAGTCAGGCCCATCCTTTGCAGTACAGTCTGGCTAGCAGGGCCCTGACTGGGTCTCCCGTGGCAACCCTAGCTCTGTAGTGGCTCTCTGAGGTTTGGCTGGAGGATTACAGAAGACAGTTGCTGTCTGGCTGCAGTGCTCTGCAAGCCATGTGAGGTGGTTTGTGGGCTTCATCTATCCCTGTCTGTCATTTGTCATGTTTGGCCCTGAGCTGACACTTGCTCGTTAGCACTGGGGCATCCTTTGTGCACTCTGTTCTTGAGAAAAGGTGCTTGGGGAACCGTCCAGCCAGTGTTGCCAGCCAGTGCTTTAGATTTCAGGCATGGCCAGTTAGCTGGGGAGAGGATGGCTAGTTTACATAGGGAGGGTGCTTCTGAAGTCTTCAAAGGGACTGACCTCCACCAGAAAACTGCAAAGGCCTGTCTTGGTGGAGAAGGCTTGTATAGACTCTGGACTTGAGTGACTATGTGCACATTATGAACAGTGACTGGAGGGAGGGAACAGAATTAGGACCTTTGGGGAGTGGAGAGGAAGGTGGGTGTAAGAACAGGGAAGGGTCCTGATCGTCAGGTTGGTTACAGTAGCCAGAAGAACAAGGGTTGGTCAAGAAGCTGTGCAGGTTGTAAGGCAGCTTGGCCAGTGAGGTAATGAGAGGTGGTGGGGTGCTAGTGACAGTACCCAGGCTTGGCTTGTGCCATCCAAGCAGGGCACCAGTAGGACTGTGGGGACGCGTCACTTACTGGTGTGGGGCTAGTTGCCATCATTGAGTTTCAAATACATGGCCATGTAGAAGGCTACAAACTTGTGTTTTATATTTGATCTCAGCATTTTGTGCTGCCACTAGAAATCAAAGAATTGTGTACTCATCAAGGCCCTAGCTTCTTTCATCCCAGCTTACTCTACCTGCTTAGCTGCTTTGAGTCTTGTTTCCTCTTGTAGAGGTGCCACCTGCCTCCTGGCTCGAGGGGATTTACTGGGACCCTGTACTCAGCTCCATGTAGAGACTGACCCTTGGCAGAGGCTTACTTGTTTTGCCTCAGCTCCAACTCAAGTATCCCCAGACGGTTTTAATTTGTTTGTGCTGTTATAACAAAATACAGGAGACAAGTAATTAGTAAATAATGGAGGTTTATGGTTCACCATTCTGTAGAATGTAAAACTCAAGTCAAGATAGTGGCAGATGGTGTGTCTGGTGTCTGCTTTCTGCCTCTGAGTTGATGCCTTGATCACTGTCTTCACTTGGTGGGACAGGGCAAAAGGGTCTAGCTCGTTGCTTGCAGGCCTTTTAATAAGGTCTCCATTCCTAGCCTTAGGTACTCTGCTCTTGTAACTTAATCTCTTCCTGCGTGGTCCACTTCTTGACGCTGTCAAGCTTGGGGCTTATGTTCCAACAGAGGAATTTTGGCAGACACATTTACATCATAGTATCAACTGACACTCTCCCTGTGCAGTACGCCCTGCCTCTCTCAACACAACAGGGTGCCAAGTGCCTCTTGTATCCACCTGTGTGGCTGAAGGAGGGGCACAGCAAGTGTGCCTTATTAACTGTTATTGAGCCTGCTGGCCTCTGGGATTGCTGTGCACCCAGGGCTGATGTCTAGCAGACATCAGATAGTAGAATGCACAGTGTTCTCATTCCATCTAACAAATTAGACCTTTAGTATGTCAGGTAGTTGTTGAAGCATAGCCCAGAGCTCTGCTGGAAGCTGTGAGTGTGACTGTGGCCTTGTAGGAACGGGAGACTGAGCTGCCTATGCTAGGTTGAGACTGCTCAGGTCTCAGAGATAAGGGCTCTGGATGTAGCCTGAAGAATACTAGACTTGCACTGTTGGTGTTTTTTGTTTACACCACCTGAGCACATGACAGAGAGGATCCCACGGCTGCCTGGAGAGTGTGTCAGTCAATTGTCTCTGAGGAGAAAGTAAGGAAAAGGCACAGACCTTCCTGTCACCTGTCCCAGATAGTAGAGCATGAGCTGTGAATGTCACAGAGTAAAGGCATCATTGGCTGGTCCCCAGGAATTGAAAGCTCTTGGGGAACTCTTGTTCTTCCTGCCCTTTGTTCTCATTCCTCTGCTTTAAACATGCTGTTTTACCCTCTGGAAACGACTCCTGTCTCTTCTCTGAAAAACAGGGAGAGGCCCTTTGGTTTTATGGTTGACATTAAATGCTACAGCAGTAATACTAAAAACAGTCCACTAAAGGGTGTGCACCCTGTGCTTGTTGGGGATGGTTTGCCTGACAGCAGACTGCAGAGCTGACTGCTGACCGGAAGCAAGTGTGCTGGAGCTGGGGTGTTTGTGTGTGAGCGGGAGTAGCTGGGTGTCAGAAGAGGTTGTCAGAAGCATGGTGCTTCTGTTAACCCCAAGGAATTATTTAGGAGACACTTTGCCCCCATTGCCCAGAGGCTTTGCAGATGAACTGAGACAGTGCTTTTATATATTCTTGGCCTTACTTCGTTGACTGCAGAAACATGCACAGAGCCTGCTACTAACTGGGCAGATCAGACTGGAATCCCAGTCACTGTGAGTGGCCTTGGAGACCCATATCATGAAAGTCAGGTGGGCATTTCTGCACAGCAGGGCAGTGACCTACCTTGGGAGGGCTGAGCTTGGAGCTCCAGGCAAGGCAGGCAGTTGGGGCTAGCTGCAACCAGTGACTCTTTGGACTGTGGCATAGCTCCAGAGGCTTCTGGGGACCCATGGTTTAGAACACTGCATTCTCTGTCCTATTGTGCTGGTGTCTTAAGGTGGTGTCCCTGTTCCCCTTAGAGGGAGGATAGCATAACCACTTGTCTCCTCCTTCATTCCTTTTCAGTGGACATAAACCCAGAGGCTGTATTTTAAGTCATGGGTCCAGCCAAGCCCCCGCAAGCAAGTTGTAAAGTATTGCAGCTCCTGGTTTTGTGGTTTGCTCTGTAGGCACATGGGCTGTGAGATTTTTAGGGGAGGAACTGTAGATGATAATTTCTGCCCTAGGATCCTATCCACTCCAGGGCTGAAAGGTCCTACCACTAGCCGCACCCTGGAGCGGACCTGCCCAGCTATGCACAGCCTTGTGGCCAGGTTTTGCCCTGAAGCTCAGTGAGGAGACAGGCCCCACACTGTGTTAGCCACTAATTATAAAATGGAGAGATGACATTATGATTAATAAGATACAGTCATCAACAGCCATTCCTAATTTCAAAGTAGCCCCTTTGCTATTATGTATTTTCTCAATAAAAAATTAGTCACTCAAGGTTACACCACTAATTAATGGAGGAATCCTTGAAAGGCACTGTCTGATTTACACTCCATCCAGTAGGCAGTAC